CGAAACGTTTTTTTAATTGATAAATGACTGAAGAACCCAGGATTTGATTTTAATTTGGGACAGTGAGTAACAGAAAAAAGGCTTAAATTTGTGTGGTTTTTTGGGTAAAAGCTCGGACGGAAAATTCGCATTGCGTGCAATGTCCTCCTAGATCGCCAGATCTATCTCCAACAGAAATTGTACGCATTTTTTCACCGGTCAAACCATCCGTAGGAGTCGAAAATGGAAATCCGAGAAAAGTGTGCAGTAACTCCGGAAATTGTTGAATAGTTTTTTTCGGAATAACAAATTTCAACATATTAAAAAAAAATTAAAAAAATTTTCAAAATGCCACTCAGAAAGCGCCATTAAAGTCCCATTTGGACGCTCTGGACCAAAATAAATCATGAAAACTACATACCTTAACAAACGTCGTGTTGTCCTGTTAATGAAGAACGTTAGCAGTTAAATACTGAGGAAGCAAAGGGAGTTAAATTTCTGTAGCTTACACGATATAATCCAGAAAGAGGCTCGGTTTTTTTCATTTTGATATCCGGAGGAAAACTCCAATCGCGCACTGCTCGCCTAATTTCCGGCCCATCAGGATCGACCAATCGAAACGCTGTGATATTCGTGCCTCCATATTTGAATTCCTCTAAATCGACTCCATGCAGATCCTGGGAAATTCAGAAACTTTCACCTGCCTTACAAAACTGTTTTTTCTTAAATATTTCGTTATCCAGGCAGATTTTCGGAGAACATGAGACGACAAACGAGGTCTGACAAATTCGCCTTTTGTTTCGAATTTATGAAGAAAGCGCGCAGTATTTACCAATTACCGATGCTTTTATCGCAAAACGATAGCAAAATATCGGGGTAGCTGCTTTGAATTCTCTTTGATAGAGCCGCTCTAGGCTGAGTAGTTGGGAGAATGCAATGGCAAAGCGATGTAGGTAGATTTTGTCTCGATAAAAGCTTTTCAAAAGGAAACTGTATAAATCGATTATGGTTTTCTTGTGCTCCGAAAATAGAGGCCCAATATTTACTGATGTTTTCAATAATTTGTATATCATGTATCTAAAAATTTATAAATTTAGAACCCAGAAATATTTACGATTGAATTTTTCAACACTTGTAGAAGAAGGTTTTGTTCATAAGTGTGGAAAATTGCGTTAGATTTAGCGCATTTTTTAAGCCCATTCGATTCTTTGAAAGAGATTCTTCCACACGTTCACGCCTGGGTTTAAAAATTCATTGCTGTTGAACCCAAACAAACCATGTGGAAGTGTGGAAGATTATAAGCGATTTTATCCACCTGCTGATTATGTACGATTTTTTCACTTTTGAAGACTTGAAATTATGTCGCAAACGTGCCTAAAAATTAATATCTGTGGAACTAGAGCCAATAGGAGATGGAATTTTTGTCAGGTTTTAGAGCAACCCTTTTTGAGCAAGTGTGGAAAATGCCGATAGATTTTGCGCCCCTGGTGATTTTCTATTAACTTTGAAACCCTGCGACGATTTGAAGATGTCCCTCAAATGTGCACCCCTGTGCTTAAAAGTTGATACCTTTCGAACCCGAGGACAAGACAATATATATTTTTTTATTTTTTTTAAAGAAAATCTCTTAGTTAACAAGTGTGAAAAAATGCGATCGATTTCGCCAACCCGTTTATTTTATAGGATTTTTTAACTTTTGAGTTTTTGAAATTGTGAGGCAAAYGTGCCCGCCCGAGCCTAAAAATTCACAACTTTGGAATTAGAGGCAATAACTAGTCACATTTTTGTAACTTTTTAGATGCAGGCTTTATTAATAAATATGAAAAATTACGACCGCTTTTGCGGTCTGTACAATTTTGGCTGATTTTTTAAAACATTCGATGATTTGATGTTGTGTCCCCCCCACGTGCAGGTCTGTACCTAAAAATTCATAACTTTTCAACCCGAGCAAACCACGCGGTGAATTTTCGACAGTTTTTAGACGAAGACTGTGCGAATAAGTGTGGAAAATTGCGATCGCTTTCACTTACCTGTTAATAATKAAAAAAAAAATCAACTTTTGAGGATTTGAAATTGTGTAGYAAACGTACGCGTCTGTTTCTAAAAATTCGATTCWCTGGAACTAGAGCCAATCAGGGGTGGAAATTTAGACAGTTTTTCAAGAAAGACTTTGTTAATMAGTGTGGAAAACAGCCATCCATTTGGCGCATTTGATGATTTTTCATGATTTTTTAAAGTGTGAAGGTGTCTTTGAAAACGTGCACACTCGGGCCTAAAAATTCATAACTGTCGAACCCAAACAAAACAGTAGCAATTTTCAAACAAGATTTTGGTAATAAAAGGAAAAAATTGCAATTTGGCTGACTTGATGATTCTGTAGGATTTGCATAAATTTCGGTCATTTGAAAATGTGTTTCAAACGTGCATGGCTGTAAACAAAAAATTATAACTTTCGTCCACGGCAAAATCGGGAATGGAATTTTTGAAAATGTTTAGAAAGAAGATTGCATTAATTAATTTAAACAAATGAATTTTCGAGCTCTTGGTAATCCTGTAGAATTTTCAAATTTTCCTTAAAAGATTTGTGGAAGCACACCAAACGTGCAGGCATTTTTGAACTCTGAAACTTGCTAGTAACAAATATTTACTTTTATTATTTATTTCTCGCGTAATGAGTTGACAAAACATCAATAATATCGGCGCTTTTTCTAGCATTTTTCACAGCCTCTAAGTTTTAGAGATGGGTTGCAAACGAGCCCGCTTGTGCTTAAAAATTCACCACTTCCAATTTTCCCCGAGCATAAAGTAGAGACAAAGCTTCAGTTGAAAAGTTGTGTAAATTGCAAAAGCTTTCGCTGCTTCACTGATTATCGGCAATTTTTCTTACTTTTAATGATATAGAAATGTGTCTTAAACAGACACGTGGTTATCTAAAAATTCGCAAATTCAATGATGAAGTTTTGTTCCTAAAGATGCTTGAAAAAATCAAAACTCGCCAACGCCGGATAATCGAAAGTTGAATTTTTGCACAGCTATAAAAGAGGGCCCCAGTAATGCGTGGGCAAAATTTGAAGCAATAGTTAAAATTCAGTGATCCTACAGAATTTTTGGACTTTTTTCCATCAAAGACGGCTCCTGCTTAAAAATTTACAACTTTCAAATTCTGTCGGCTTTTAATTAAAAAAATAGAGCAATTCTTACCAGTGAAGTGATCAGATAACTGTGATAATCGCTCATCATCCCGATCTGTTGGGCCTGCTTGAGAACATCGTAAATTCTGGGCGTGGAACAATCCAACACTATATGGGATTCGGCGGAATTTTTTATTTGCTTAAGCAAAGGCCTGGAAAACAACGCAAAATTAAATAGTAAGACGAACAAAAAACCAGACACAAAGGAAAAGAAAGAGTGATGAATTGACGTCGAGAAAAATGGGCTGAAACTAATGGTGTGGTGAAATGCACAACTTTTATGCACGATTATGTGCATAGTTTAGAGCTTCGGGAGTTTTGAACGTGAGAACGTGGAAAGTTCAAATCAAAGTGAAAAATTGCCTACCTATAATCATTTCCTTCTCCTAACTGCCGCACTGTTATGGGAAACTCATAGGGACCATGAGCCTTCAGCAGCTCCTGAAGCCGAACTAATCCCTCATTATTTTCGTAAATTATCGTAAAGGATTTCCATCCCCAAGCCTTAACCAAATCGACATAAGCCTACAACAAAATGGGGGTTTTATCGCAATGCAAGCTCCATTCCTGGACAGATTGCAAAAAGAACAGAAAATTTGAAAAAAATTCCGGAAGCTACTTCAAAAGTTTCATGTAGCCGAATGATTTCAAACGCTAATAACTGCTGAAATAATGGATTTGAAAAGCAGTTAAAATTGTTAAACGGTTCGGCGAAAATTCATGATTTGACTTTAAATCTTTGTTCTAGAGGGCCGTATAAGCCAGCGATCAATACGTTTCGTCCGGAATGTTATGAACGGGGTTTCAGTGACGTGTTCAGTGATCTATCGAATTAGTGTCAATTGAATAGTTTATAAATATCGGGCCAGGATTCAGTAAATTTTATTGTAGCTTAATTTCCATTAGCACCTGTGAACTATGCATTGAGTTCCAGCCCATTCACATACATGACTGAACTAATCAACTGCAGATCCCATTTCCATTCGTTAATCAATAAATTTCCATTAGTTAACACTGCCAAAGAGATTAACGTTGAAACAAGCAACGCCTGCTTATCTGACCAAGTTTATTGCCCAGTTATTCATGAATAAAAATACTAACTTCGAAACTGCAGGGAAATTAAACAGTGCCTGTTTTGCATATTCCTATAAAGGTCTACTCGGATCTTCCTCGGCGAAGGTAAATATTTTACCAAAATTCGCTATTAAAAATTTATTGCACACGAACTATATATTAAAATTCGGATATAAAGTGTTTTGGCAATATTCCAAAGGTAAATGGGCTGCAGTCTTATTTGCGAAATTGAATTTTTCGCGTGCACGGTTGTTGCACTTTTAAAATACAGTGAAATTGCATTGTTCGAAAATAACACGATTTTTTGCATCTAAGATATTTCTACGTGATAATTGGGAGTGGGACTTTGCTCACTGCTGATTTGCATATAAAGAATCAGAATTTTCCATGTCTTTCATGAAACTGAGTACATTTATGATGGGTATGTTAAGGCAGTTAAAACAGGAGCGATGTGACTTTCGAAAAATGCACAACTCCCAAATTTCAACGGAAACAAAATTGATTTTTTCGTATTATTGCGAAATTTCAATGGATTTGTAGCTCCCGCTTTTTCCCCAGAAAATTTCGAACTTTGTTGTGATTCAAGGGCGTCCCTCAAAAGTGCAAGTCTGGATCCAAAAAATTATAACACCTAAAGTCCTGCAAGTAGAGAGCTGAATTTTTCCGCATATTTAGCAGGAGGTCCAGTTCATCTGAGTGAAAATTATCAACTGCATCGGGCTTCTGGTTGATTTTATACGAATTTTCAAACTTTGTAGTAGTTCATAGGCGTGCCCCAAACGTGCAAGTTTCGTAATAAAAAATCAGAACTCTCACACTTCTGCAGACACAAAACCATATTCATGCTCATGCTTAGCAGGAGTTTTAGTGCATATTTTTGGTTGCTTTCGCACAAAATTAGAAGACGTTTCTATAGACTACCGCAGAAGTTTGGCTGATTTAATGATTATGCTGATTTTTTAATTTTGTTTAATTCGGAGGTGCGCCTCAAAAGTGAGAGCTTGAACTTAAAAATTCATTAATTTGGAATTTCATAACCCACGAAGCTGAAATTTATTGCAATACACTAGCAAAACTGTTGGCAATCAATAGGACTTCAGTCAATTTCGCTTCAAGACTTTAGTCAATTTCTACAAGTTTACAAAATATCGATGATTTAAAGGGGTGCCAAGCATGCAACCTGGTGAATAAAAATTCATATCGTCCACACTGACACAAGTCTGAACCTGAAATTTTCACCATGTTTGAACAACAGCTAATCTTTTGCGTGTGAGAAATTTCATTAGATTCTAAGAATTGAATCAATTGCAACAATTTTTCAAAATTTGTATAGTCTACTGCTGTGTCCAAAACAGGCATACTTGTGCTTAAAAATTCACAACTCCCAAACGGCACCACATTCAATTTTATAATTATGCAATTATGCTAGGAATATTAACTATAGAAACGCGTGCAAATTAAAATCGGAGTTGGAGATTCGAATAATTTTCTAGAAATTTTCAAACTCGTAGCGGTTCAGAGATGTGCCAAGAACATGCACGCTGGTGCTTAAAAATTCACAACTTCCAGACGCGAGCAAATTTAAAGTTCAAATTTTGTAGAACCCTAGCAGAAATGTCGGTAGATAAGCACATAAAATAACATCAAAGTTGCGTTATGTAGAAACTCTCTAGAGTTTTTCAAAATATTGCTGGTTCAGGGATGTGCCCAAAACATGAACTCTTGTGTATAAAAATTCGCTACTCCCAAACGCAAGAAAAATCAGAGTTACAATTTTGCACAAGACTAGAGGAAATGTTAATACAAAAAATTAAAAAACCCATCAGAGGTTGAGCGTTCATTGAATTTATAGCACTTTTTAAAATTTTCCTGGCTCAGAGTTGTGCCGGGAACATGCACGCGTGTGTCTAAAAATTCACAACTTCCAAATGCGAGCAAATTAAAAATTTAAATTTTGCACGCTAACAGAAAAACTATCAATACACAACTGCACAAGACAACAGTGAAGTTTTGTGGTTTAATAATTTTTTTGAATTTTTTAAAACTTTCCAGCCAGAATTGAATCCAAAACCTGCGCGCGTGTTTTTAAAATTTTACAACTCCCAACCGCGAGCACATTAAAAGTGGAAATTTCGCTCAACACTAGACTAAGTGCTAATAAAAACATACAAAAAAAGATTGGAGTTTCAAAGTTCAATCATTTTTCTAGAATTTTTAAAAATATTGCCGGATCAGAGATGTCCCCGAAACATGCACGCTTGCACCTAAAAATTGACAACTTTCAAACGCAAGCAAATTAAAAGTTGAAATTTCATTAGACAAAATGTTAGTGCAAAAGTGGAGAAAACAAGTCAGAGTCAAGACATTCATTGAATAAAAAAAAAAATTCTTGCCGACGTAGAAATGCGCCCGAAACCTGCACGCTTGTCCCTAAAAATTCACAACTCCTAAACGCAAGCAAATTTAAAACAAGAATTTTTAGCAACAGTAGAAAACACGTCAATACAAACGAAGATTCGAGCTGGAAGGTTCACTGATTTTCAAAAAAAAATTAAATTTCGTCAGCTCAGAATTGCGTCCGAATCATGCAATTTTGTGCCTAAAAAATCCCAAACGCCGCAAAATCCCTAATTAAATTTATGCACACTCCAAGAAAAAGTTCATAAATTTCCATTAAATTCTATAATTCGGCAGAATTATTTAAAGTTCTTGAAAACGATGACAATTATTCGCAACGCGGCCTAAACCTTGATTGATTCCATCAAAGTTTCCAATTTCGCCAGGGGCCTTTGGGGAAGCTTTTGCTGATTTTCAATCAACTAGATTCCTTTCAGCACTTGTATCATTCTCCAGTTAACTGATCATTTCCCCTAAAGTTGAACTGTTGAGAAACCCGTAGCTATTCATGGAAAACTTGCAGCATAAACTTCGGCTGCACAATTGGTCTCAAGTTTAAACTTTACTCAGTTATTCAATGGGCTGAGAATTATTAGTTCTTCGATTCGATTCTCTTGATCGAAATGCATCGGCTTTATCAGCATTATTTAGTTGCTTTTTTGCCTCATATTAATTTTCAAGTGCTTCGCTGGTTTGTTGGCCTGAAGTTTTGCCTCGATCAGCGCAAGTTCCTGGTTAATTAGCAACACAATTAATTAGCAAAAATTGCACTTACTCTGGACAGGGTGGTTGGATGGGGATACAAATTGACAAGACAACTTTCCCGGCGCAATCTGTAGTCCCATCGAGTCTCCAAATGGGGAATTTCCATCGTGTCGCAAATGGATTGAACATGACTGGCAGTATGAGGAGACTGGGGACCGAAAATCGCTGCCACTCCCGTCCTCAACAAATGACAAACTGAAACAAACCGTCTTTTTGAAGCTGGAATAACTCATTGTCAGCGACAAGATTTTTCAAGATTACTGGGGGAAAGATAAGTCAGCTGCAGCTGCAAGTCGTCCCTGGAAGCCTTCAAGCTGCACTATTGGGATTATGATTAAATAAAGCTTGAATGGGTTTTCTTGTTCTTTGCAGGGTTACAATCATGGTCTTCTAATGAGAATTGCTGATGAAAATTACCTTTTTTCGAAGCATGGAAGCTGTCCTGGGGGGGAATTTTCTCAATTTGAGCCTGCAACTTTGACCGAGTCAATATCGTTCTGTCGCTGTTAATTTTCTCTATGGCGTAGCGGAACGCGATTTCCTGCTTATCGTCAGTCGGATGGAACAAGCCTCCTGCAAAAGAACAAGACTCTCAATGTATTATTGCGGAAAGTTAGCCGGTTATTTAGTGGAAATTCAATTTTGTGTCTGTTTGGGCTCTCAGTTCGTTGGTTCTACGGCAAAAAATTGGCATGATGCAGAAACGAGACTATTTGATTTTGCGTGAACTTCGATGCTCGTTTTAAACGGTGCGATGTGCGATGTTAATTTGATTTGATTCGGCTCGGAAATTGGCCCATCACCTGTAAACGGATGTTACTTATGCTTAGTTAGTTACAAATTAACGCTTTTGGGTGCATTTTTGCCAATCAACTGATTTTTTATAACTCCTCGATCTCCGATTCACATCCTGCAAGTGGAAGCAAACGAACCAACACCAACATTCAATTACTGAAGCTCATAAAATTCGCCCTGCTGGCTTTGTTCGGCAGTTTCTTCAATTTGAAGCTCTAACCCTGTTAGCTTTAATTTCCAGTTCGAAAGTTCTTTGCAGGGACGGCAAATTAAATTCCCCTATTGGAGTGGAGGTCGTCGTAATGGGCTTCGAACACGAAACCGAAGAAAACATAATGAAGCTTCGAGCTTTAAATCCCAACTTGTGCCTCCAAATAATGCAATTGTGGAGTTTGGGAACAACTACCAGTTGAAACGTCTCGCTTGTGCATACTTACCAATTGGAATGAGATCTGGCAAGCCCATTAAAACTTTCAGCTTTGTGGCGAGTATCAGAAGCGCCAGCAACTTTCCAGCCATCTCATCTGGAAATTGACACACTTTTCACGCAAACAACAACAACAACAACAAGAAATGGATGATAATGGCATGTTGAAGTTGCCTGCAAAACATTGGCCTCGACCCAAAGAGTTTAATTATCTCAACTCCCTTTAATCGCAATTTCTCTCTATAGTGCCCCAACAGGAAATGAGGCTCTAATTGACTCCATACCTGATTTGAGGAAAACCTAGATTGAAAGGAGCAGCGACATCAATCAATCTGAATTTCAACACAATCTGACCGAACGTGTCGTGAAACTGGCTCAGCTGCACGCGATCCCAGCTTTGATGGGCTTTTTGCAGCTTCCAGCGCTGAAACTGAATCGAAACTGAAACAGCATCCGAGCGACTGGAGCAAGCGCTCTGTGTTATCGGCGAAATAACGCAGAATATAGCTGAACATCTGATTCCCCATAAAGGGTGAAGAGACTAAACATCGTTGCAAATATTGGGAAATCCGGTAATTGGAGGTGGTTTTTCTTGGAAAATTGGTGCAAAACATGAGGGTTTTTGAATGGATCTGGTTTGGGTTTCCAACGTTTTCCATTGGCATTCTTGAAGTTGCGGTTTGCCCCTGAAGATTTCTCTTGAAAGTCTTTGACTGGTTTTCAAGCTGAGCTGGGCTCAAATAGAGCACGAGCTTTATCACCTTCCTTAATAGCTAAAATTGAATAAACCCATCTTCAAAATGCGGATTCAAGATGAAAGTGTCCTATAAACGGCCGGCATTCGAAATTTAATTATAACATTTCGGTCCCGCAATTAAACGCTTATAAATAGAACTGGGCCTTAAACCGGGACAATTCCGGCATTTCAGTACAATCGTCAGTTTTTGTATACTCACTTTGACACGCCGCTTTTATTATTGTTTAAAACTTTGGTTTTTTATCGGTTTTTTTAAGATGCAAATTATTCCTTTGGCTTTTTGTGCGGTATTGGGTTTATGGCTCTTGAGCTCGCCGTGTACATGCAGCTCCCGACAAAAAATTAAGATTGTTTTAGGTAAGTTTCAGCTTTTATTTCATGCAAGATCAATCACATTTTTTTTAACACA